GATGGATGGATGGATGGATGGATGGATGGATGGATGGATGGATGTGACGGGCGTATTTAAGAAAGACCAGTCAGGCTGTGGGGACCTTCATACTGGAATGGAAGAGGCCAGAGAGCAATCTCTAAGTATAACAGGTCCTCACATAATGTGGTTTCATTATCACATTGATGAGACGCTGTAGGAACTTAATTCTTGCTTACATTCATTAGCCTATGGTAAAAACTGGCTTTGTTATATTTCGTTTCACTTAAAGTCACAGAACCTATGTAAGACCTTAAGTGAGGACTTGCTATCCAGGGTCGTAGGTGCCTTTAGGTCTGGGAATATGCTGTTCCCTGAGGTTTTGCCTAACATAGATGTGAATTTATGCCTGTGGGGCATGTGTAGAAGCAGAACACATGTAGTCCTCCTGGGCACCAGGCACTCTCCCTGACCGGCAGGGATCGTGCTCTCTCTGAATGTCAAGGTGAGAAAACTGAGACTCAGGGAAGTTAAACAACATGCTTAAGGTGAGTGAAGGGGCGCATACTAACTCCAGCCTGTCCTAGTCCAGAGAGTTTCTCCACATCACACATGACGGTATGGCTGGAGGGGACCTCCCTCAGGTTCCCAGAGGCTGGGGGAAGGCTTTTGGTTTCTGGTTCTCCTTTGGTATCAAATCACACTTTCCTCCAGTTTCCATTCACTGAACTCTCACTATTCAGCAGTGTGTCCCCAGAGCCCAGAACAGTGTCTGGCACACGGAGGGCTTTCTGAAAATGGCCTTGGAGCAATGATGGTTGATGGATAGATGAGAGAAAGAGAGAGGAAGGAAATAAACAAATACAAAGTAAAGTTCAATCACAGTGACTCAGAGGAAACAGTGCCCTGAGACTTGTGGGGATGGTTGGGAAGCAAATGGACTCAGCACCACTGTCCGCCTCCACTGCAGGGCTGATCCGGTCCCGAGTTCGTGGGGCAGATGTGGCCTCGGCAGCTGTCCTCACCTTTCTGGACAGCCACTGTGAAGTGAACACCGAGTGGCTGCAGCCCATGCTGCAGCGGGTGAAGGAGGTGAGTCTGTCTGTCCCTGGGTAGCTCTGTCTCTCAGGACGTGCCCGCCAGATTCTTGGCATGAGAGCATGTGAACCGTCTTTGACACTGGGCAGGCAGAGTAGGAGCCTAAATGGGCTGCTACCTCCTGAGCGACTTCACCTCGTTGAGCTTCTCATCTGAAAATGGGGATAATTATAATATTTGTCCCACCAGGTTGTTGGGAGAATTAAATTGGATGACAGCCTGGGGGGGCTATAAAGCTACTACTGTGAATGGGTGTGGGTGTTTT